ACACGTGGAAGTAACCGAGAGTGACCTGGCAGAAGCACCAGCTCGGCACGACAGCGGGCCCACAACCCGAGCTCCGAGCTAAGGAGTCCCGAGCTCCTCCAAAGAAGGAACCTACAACCCGAGCTCCGAGCTAAAGAGTCCCGAGCTCCCCCAAAAAAGGAACCTACGACCTGAGCTCCCCAAGGAAGAACCCAGCTCTCCCCTAGAGGTCCTGAGCCTTACAAAGAGCGCAAAGGGCAAAAACCCGAGCTGACCCACCCCGGGGCAATTCGGGCCACACTTCTATCCGAACTCAAGACCACCTCGCACACCACTTCGGCTCCAAATCGCCTGACTGAACAACCGTACCTGACGCCCAGGAAACCAGTACACGGAGGCGGCGCACCTAACTGATTAGGGGTCCGACACATGACAGCTGCCCTCCAACGGCCACCTTCCACCGCCATCTCAGACGTGGTAGAGATGGCCCTGGCAAGGATAGTGACGGTTATGACACCCAAACTGGCAACTGGCAGAGGCTATGACACCCGAACTGGCAACTGACAGGTTATGACACCCGAACTGGCATCTGGCAGAAATGATGACACCCGATCTGGCGGAGGTGATGATGCCCGATCTGGCAGAGGTATGGGAGTGAGTGTACAGGGTGATTATAAAAGGCCTCCGTCTCCCAAGGAAGGAGGTATGTGATTTTCTGTGCTTTCTGATCTTAAAATTCCACATTTCCCTTACCTTCTCAAGAGCACTAACTTGAGCTTCGGAGTGTTCGAACCGGGTTCCTCCCCGGAAATCTCCAACTTCTTCCTTGTTTCAAGCATCTTCGGCTCTGTCAAAGGCAAGGTGACCGGCAGTTAGGACCGATTGGATTGCGCACCATCAATTGTCCTTAGAAAATTCCATAAATATTATTGAGACTATTCGAGCTTTTTAAAATAGGGTGTGTGCATATATATATACATATATATATATATATATTATCTTCATTTAAGGTTTTATATTAACCATATGGTATTTAGATTTAACTTTTATTACTGTATAGAACCCACCACAAATTTCCACTTTATATAGTATAGATAAAGATAATTGTACTTTGTCTTCCCTTTTCAAGCAATTTTCCTTGCATAAATAGACACTCCTAATCTCTTTAAAATGTTATTCTTACCATTTTTTATGTTAGGTGATAGTGCTAAATCTCGATCTTCTTTATTTTAAATAATAAAAAAGCTTTTATTCCTACGTGCCCTTATCTTCTCTTTCTCAAATTTGCACTATATTGGACGGTTAAATGGGAATCAATACCAAAACAGTTTTTAGGTTGCCCAATTATTTTTAGAAATGTTGACGTAGTCAACTTACATAAAATACAAGTATAGATATCTTTTACAATTCATATCATGTATGTGTTTGATATTTATTGTTTCAAGTTTATTTCGATATAAAATAGCTTTAAAAGATGAGCTAAATTTGTTATTTTTAATTTTTCTTTTCATCTATTTTTTATTGGAGTAAGTCAAATGGTTAAACCAAAGGATCAAACTATTTGACATGTGACATAGTGACCAGAACAGTTTTGTATTTTGATCCAAGTTTAACAATATTTTTTTTTTGTTGTTAAATTACAAGAAAACCTTTTTGTTTTGAAAAAAATAATATTTATAACCTCCATTTTCTCATTATTGCCAATGTCTATACCTTTTCTAGCCATTTAGATACTTCCAGCTCCAAGGAGAGCCTAGATATCTTGCAAGCAAAAACTCTAAGAGCACATTCAAGCGCATATTGGGAATATATCCTATACATCTGCATTAAATTTATGGGGAGATATTTCCAATGTAAGGCTAGATGGCTATGTTCTCAAAATGTTCATATATATATATAAATATGAGACTTAAAAATAAAATGCACCAAAAAGTAATATCCAAATTACAATTTATACCCTCACAATAGAGAGTGACCAAATTCAAAAGATGGATATTTTATTAAAAACCATAAACCATAGGAAACTATTCACACTTTTTATAGTTGTAAGATTGGAAAAGTTTTTAGATAATTGGGAAAATTATAGTTAGAGTTGGCTATACATTTAAATTTATGCTATAGGTTGGTTCAAAAACCAATAAAATTCTGACATCTGGTTGTATATTTCAAATTATAAAAACCCCCGCCATGTCATCGGAGGCTTATGTGGTTGTTGCCAACATGGGACTCTTAATCCATGTTGGACACAACATGGATTATTTGAAAAAAAAAAAAGACTTTCCACTTTCTCTATCATTCCCTTTGTCTCCCCCACTCCCTCTGCCTCTCGATCTCCCTCCTACTCTCTCACTCCCACAATCATCCCTCAATCTCCCACTCTCTCAGCTTTGGTCTACAGCCAAATCAAACTCTCTCTCTCTCTCTCTTGGTTGTTCTCTCATTTTCCATCAATCTCTTATACCGTTCTCCCTTAGTCTTTCTCTTGCTTCCTCCCTCTTTTTTTTTTTAAATTTTTCTTAGAAACTTATATGGTATTAATTGGACCATATGCGTTATAGGTTAGTCAAGGGACCAACAACTTGTACGATCAAGTTATAAGTTTCTATCAAGTTGGTATAGATTTCATAGCCAAGAGTTCCTTGTGAATTTTTATCAAAATTGGGATTAGAGAGTTGGAACCATATCAAGTTGGTCTTATATTCTTTATTATGGTCTGGTTAATAGAGTATAAGTGTGTAAGAAAAATAAAAAAAAAAGAATGAGAGAGGGAGTGGGAAAGAAACTGAAAGAAAATGATAGAGATTGAGTGAGAAGGAGAGAGAGAGAGAGAGAGAGAAAGAAGGAGAAGGGAAGAATGAGAGATCAACCAAGAGAAAATGAGGGAGGAAAGATTAAATGAGAGAGATTGAGGGAAAATGTTAGATTGATACAGAGGGAGAGAATGAGAGAGCTAAGAGAATGTAAAACCTTTTCTCAAATCACATAGTAATTAAGCAAAGAGAGATGACTATGAGAGTGAGATAGTGGGAGGGACATTTTAAGATAGAGGGAGTGAGAGACAAAGTGAAAACACTTTTTTTTTTCAAATAATCCATGCTGTGCCCAACTAGGGGTGCTCACGATTCAATTAACATAACTGTGGGGCATTTTTTTGAACCGAACTGGTACCGGTTTTTGGAAAACCGTTAATCGGAACTGAACCGAAGCCAATCAGTTAACCGGTTGACCAGTTCGGTTAACCATCGGTTTGGTTTGTCAGTTTTTCGGTTTTTTAGTTTTTACAATATATATTATAAATATGTATAAAATATTATATTTTAAATAATAAATAATATATTATATATATAAATATATAATATAGAAATATATGTATATCGATCGGTTTGGTTAACCGCCGGTTTTCTATATTGGTTAACTGAAACCGAACCGATACTTTTGGTTTTTTAAAAACATCGAACTGAAACCCAACTGATTGGTTCGATTAATTGATTTTTTGGTTAGGTTTCGATTGATTTTTTTAGTTGATTCGGTTTTTCAGTTTTTTTTTTTTTGCTCACCTTTATACCCAACATCTATTAAGAGTCCCATGTTGGCAACAACCACGTAAACCTCTGATAATATAATATAGGCTTATATAATTTGAAATCTATAACCAGCTCTTAGAATTTTGTAGATTTTTGAACCAACCAGTAGAGTCATTTAAATGTTAAACTGGCTAAGAATATAATTTTTTTTCTAAATAATTTAATTTTTTCAGTTTTAAAATTTTCATTTTTAAAACTGATAGGCTTTTATTAGTTGGAAGGCCATAAAGATTCTTTGTTTCTTTATAACCCAATGACCATGATAGGCTAATGGGTGAGATCTCCACCGAAACTTTCGCTTTTAGAGCTTTCCCTGGGGTCTCCACTGACACTATCGCTTTTAGAGCTTTCCGTTGTTGTAGCAATGATAATGATCTTAGTGCAATATGAGATCGGCTTCAGTCACTACAAGGCCTTTTCAGCCTTGTTCGAACGGCCTTTTCAGCTTTGCATCGGGAACATGACTGTACTTTTATGTTTTATTTTATAGGAAGATATTTTCAATGCAAAGCTATAACATAATGATTGTTCGATTGCAGTGACTGAATCCCATCACGTGCAATATTACCTCACTTCATTTGTTTAGATGTCCAATTCGTTTAGTGATTGGATGTCTACAACATTAATGGGTCAGCGCGTATATGCTTTTCACGTGGATCTCACTCTCAAACCTTCTCCAATTAGACTAAACAAAGATTCTTTATTTCTTCATTACCCAACGACCATGATAGGTTAATGGGAGTTCCACCGACGAGTTCAGATCTGCGCCCTACAACTACAAACTACAAGGGGCGCCTTACAGCACATCTCCACTGTGTATTGAGAATATCATGACATTATTTTTTTCGATATATTATAGGAGATATTCTCAATACATGGCGGAGATGTGCTGTGAAGCGCAGATGCGATCTTTCCACCGACACTTTCGCTTTCTTGTTATTGCAATGATGTGGATTAATCCACATCAGAATTAGGAATTTTTTTCCAAATGTATTTTCGCCTAAGTCCTAACTTCCCTATAAATACCATCTCCGTAAATTTAGCATCTTTTCCTTTGATACTCACCTAAATTGTATGATGAAGTTATGAATTCTAAGGTGGACAGATCCGTAAAAATCCCTTATATCCATTTCGCTCACTGATTGGATGTCCACGCTTTTCACGTGGATTTCACTCTCAAACCTTCTCCAAGTAGGCCAAACATGATGGACACACAGCTCGAAGACTTCACAACCATGAAAAAAATGGATCTTCATCGTATACCGTCGGTCCCCTTTCAAACAAATTCCAAATATATGGTTTTACAATAGTTCAATGGTGGAAATCGTTGTATTGGATCATTTGTCACTGTGTCTTGCTTTAATGGGACGTGAAAATGGCGGGAGAAACAAGCTCGTCACGGGAGAGTGAAGAGAGAGAGAGACAGAGACAGAGAGTAGCAGAGAAGAGACAAACATAAGAATCACACCTTCATGCACAACTACCGGCAATAAAAGAAAATAAAATGGAAACCTGCCGCAGGGAGAATCACTACTTTCGGAGCTACAGCATAACTGTAGCTTCATTTTATTCTCCGATTCTAAATCTGTCCCCTTTGGGAAATGACTTAAAATCCCACTTCACCACTGAATCCACCAGATTCCAAAACCTACCCCGCTGCAGAAACCCTAGAATTGGAGGGTTTATTTTCTTTTTCCTCTTTTACTCATTACATTTCTTTTCTCTTTTCTCCAGTGATTTGTTTTGAGAATCTGTCTCACTTCACAGAAGTTTCAATTTTATGAACACAGTTACAAGCTTTGTTAGGGTGAGTTCCTTTGCATATTTCTGAACTGGATCTGTTTTGAGCTTATTTGATTATCAAAGATTTTCCAAGTACCACATTGCATCATTATCATCATCTAGGCCTTGTCCCATCTATATGGGGTCGGCTGCATGAATCCTGCACCGCCATTCCGTTCTGTTCAGCGCCATATTTCACGTCCACCCAAGTCCCTTTTGGTCTGCCCCTAGCTCTTATAGTCACTTCAACTTGTAGCAGATCACTTCTACCAAACTATCTCACTCTACTTTCTCTGTCATCTTAACTACCACATTGCATATGGAATTTAATATCCTAGGCTGTTCAGTGTTGAGTTTCAGAAGCATGAGCAAAATTCTTTGGATAATCAATTTCTTCCTTTTTCAAGCATTTTTTTACATGATTCATCTTCCATCATGACTTAAGTAAAATGCAATTTGTTTGAGTTCTCATATTTTTAGAGGATTCATTCTCTCCCTTGAATTACTGAATGTAATTTGTTTGACTTCCAGCATTTGAGAACTTTTTCTAACATACTAGCATTGCCTTTATTTATTCTAGTCTTTTGTTTGGCAGAGATTTTGTAAATGGGGATGAAGGCTACATTATTTGGTATAGGTTTCTTATTGGTATGCCTCGCCTCAGCTGCTGCTGGTGATGTGAGGTTAAACCTATGGCCAATGCCGAAATCAGTTAGCCATGGGATTCAGACTCTTCGCCTGAGTAATGATTTTGTACTTAGAACAGAAGGAAGCAAGTATGCTGATGCTTCTGGCATTCTAAAAGAGGGATTCTCAAGATTACTCGATATCATTGAAGTTGGTCATGCTATTGAGAATTCAACCAATTTGAACCATTTGCCACTGCTCAAGGGATTGCATGTGGTTATTTCTTCTCCTAGTGATGAGGTATCAATTGTCAAATTGGATTCTATGTAATGGTTTAAATGAATTCCATTCAAGGATTTTGAGTTTCCTGGGCCATTTATTTGTTTCTTTGGGTAATGTAGAAGAGCTAAAGATAATTCCACTTTTCTACAACAAAGGAAGAAAAATGTAATAATATTTGATCATATTCAGAGTGTTGAATATGAATATGGTCATAAAAATTTGGCAAGTTAATACTGCTTATGTTGTAAGAAATGAAAGGTCTATTTGTTTATATAGAACTAGTAATTTTTTTTTTTCAATTGATCCATCAGAAAAAGTTTTTTTAATTGAAATAGTCTTAATCTTGATAATTGGAAGAGGGGGAAAACAATTGTAAAGAAAAAAAGAAAGAATGGCGGCACAAACACATAGAGGAATCCATTTATTGCTAAGCTTTTCTTCTTCTTGATTTTGTATTGAATGATTTTTGATCTTTTTGGTGCAGTTACAATATGGTGTTGATGAGTCCTACAAATTATCTGTTCCCACAAATGGAAATCCAATTTATGCACATCTCGAGGTGCGTATAAAATTAATATTTTATACCTTTTAGTTGCAATTCAAGGTATCACTGAGGTGATCACTTTACCGTTTATGATCATGCAGTTAAGTTTCATACTACTGATCTTGGCTACCATCGCTATTATCTCATGTTTTACATGTCTTGTTTGGTGTTAGAAATCATATAAAGAAATGGAATGGATACTTCTTTTCTTTCTTTCTTTTACAAGATGTTGCATTGATGAAAAAGACATATTTTCACATAAGAGGATGTACATCGATAGGGGTACCTAGTGCATGAGGCTCCTGCCAATGCGGGGTCTGGGGAGGGATACATGTACGCAGCCTTACCCCTGCACATAGAGTGGATGTACATCGATGTTAATATTAAATAGATGTGATGTTGTTGTTCTACAAAAATCCTTTCCACCAGCAATATAATTCTTCATTGATCCATCTAATCTGATCTGGTATGTAGGGAAAGATTTCTATGACCTGATTGAGATAATGATCAAGTCTCTCTATAGTCCATGGCCAATTTTTAAACTCCATGTAAGAGCTTTTGCCAAAGATCCTCAAATAGCAAGAAGGTGGATGGCTTGCATCTCTCAGACAATTCTTATTAGTGTTAATCTTCTAGAAAAAATGTATATATGAAAGAGAAAAAAAGGAGAAAATGTAATGTTTGGAGTTAGAAAAGTTGAGTGGGTGGCTGCTCCTCTTTCTTATTTATATAAGGGCAACCATAAACAACATTTCCCCTCTAGTCGGATCATAAATATCAATCATTCTTAACTTGCTACGAAGTGGGGGGGGGGGGGGGGAGCAACTCCTTTTGTGAGAACATCAACCAATAGATTTGAGGAAGTAATGTAAGGAGTACATATGTCACCCATCTCTAGCTTCTCCCTGATAAAGTTCTTGTCCACCTCAATATGTATTATTCTATCATGCAGAACTGGATTATGAGCAATATTAATGGTCGCTTTGTTATCATAGTATAGAGACATAGGGCTAGTTATAGGAAGGCCTAACTCAAGAAGCATGTTTTCAACCCATAACATGTTAGTAACCCAGTGTGTTATAACATGATATTCAGCTTTAGCACTAGACTGAGCCATCATTGCGTGTTTCTTACTTCTCCATTGAAGAAAACTGAAGAGAGGAGAGCTTGAGAGTTCAGCAATGAGGGTTTGAGAATGAGAGTTTCGAACCTACTCTCTCTCAGCACCCTAAMATTYTYTTATTAAGATATATTTGAATAATTACAAGGAGGCCCTTAGGTGGGCAAGAATTTA